AGGCTGCGAATCCAATTCTTGTGATTCTCGTGACGGAAAATCGTTACTTTAATAATACTTTAGTATAACAAGATGATATACAAAAATTAGCCAATCACAATAAAAGTTCGCTATGCTATGTAAGTTACAACCTTAGGATAAATGAATTTTTTTTACGAATTTTATTGTCTACACTGTATAAACAATGTTATTATTTATAAAATTTAATATTTTTAAGCCTTTGATCAAAGGTATTTCAGTGATTATTTGATTAAATTCTTTATTTTAATTCTATAAACGTTTATAAAATTTTTTGCTCTTCACAGCTCCTAATTTTTGGTGCCTATCAATATGCCTGTATAGCAGTATTATTTGCATGATTCTCATATTCAAAAATATATACCTGATAAAATATAGAATATAGTATTACAAATCATGTTAGAATTCTAATCCATTAAGCGTCTATTCGGATAATTATTAGATATCTGTTATCCGTTATTCGTTCTGAATTTATCCGGATCTCTATTTACCGTTACTGTTGATATCTGAATAATTATCCAAATATTTGTCGGATTGGTCTGTTTATCCAATCCGAATTATCCGGATAATTCAGATACGGATAAATGGATGACGGATTTATCCGGATTGGAAATCTCTGTTAAAGTCGAAATTTCTTTTTAGTCAGCTTCTAGTGTCTATGTGACGGTGATCTATTTAATACTCCGTATAAACAAAAGGTTAAAGTTTATAATCAGTAACGCAAATTTATAAGGCATTGATTCTTGAGGAGAAGCTTCTAACTCTTTTGGATCTGATATTGTACATCTCTTTGGCCCTATTCTAAATTAAACACTGGGTGCATCCTTTGTTAAGTGACTTTATGGAGCACCTGTACGATGCTCTTATTAACATAATTATCCAAGTAAGCGAAGGATATTAGTAAAGGTTAACGAATAAATGGTAGTTCAGGAAAACCGTGACACTAGTATTAGTGTAGAATACCAGTGTATCATTATCTACAAATTATTATTGATCAAAATTTAAAAATAGGAATTATCTTTATCTAGATTAGTGAAATTTTGTTAAAAAGAGTAAATTTAAATATCAATGATATAAAAATTAGTAATTATTTTGACGTAAATAAGACTTTAATCTAAATTTTATATAATACATATAAAGATACCGACGCCTATATTATTTATTAATTATTAAAGAGATTTACAAAATATTTACATGATATTAAAAATTTTCTATTACAAATATCAATTATTTGTATTTTAAATACGTGTTCTTAAATTATAACAAAAATAAAACTTATTAATTCAAATTATAAATGTAAATTATTAATGTAGGATGTTCAATACAAATATCCAACTCTTAAAACAAACCTCTGATCAAATTGTTTTTGTACTAACACAACCTAATGGCAAGTCATAATATAAGTTTTAAGTAACATTATTACCGGTTAGATTATTTGCATAGGGCTTTTAGAAATATCGCTCTTAAATATTAAATTTTCTTTATTATTGTTTTTTTTTTTAGCTTGGTGAAATAACCCCTGTAAAATTCACATCCGTACATATGTCGCCTAGTCAAAATGAGCTACTATTAGGTATGTTATTTAATTTCGTCGGCTGAAACTGATAATTGGTTTGAAAAAATTCTAAAAACTGATAAATTCTAAACGGCTCATCCAAAACTTTAACCGCAGCTAATGCTGAAATTTTCAGACGCTGAAGTTTGAACATATTTTGATATGAAATTTTTATAATTTTATTTATTTATTGATATTTTTAGTCAGTTTTTAGAACTGGAATAGAATTTAGAGTTACCTGTAGAATTAATAATTAAAAAGTGTACAGTATGTGGATTTTACGCAGTGGGTCTAGATTTCAATTAAGGCTTCAAACTTTACATCAACCGATTTCAGTACAATTGCAACGTCAGATAATTTTTTGCGGGCAAACATTGCTTGAAAAAGTCTGTTATTTGAGGGAAAGAATCATTCGTACGTAATTTTAAAAGTTAATTAATAAAGTGTACGTATCCAGTTTAGGATAATTCTAACCATATCTGTGGTTCTGTTTAAAGTTTCATTCTAACTTAATTATGGTGCACAAAATTTCAGATGATGTAATCTGCTTATCTTGGGATGTGTTTTTTTTGACCGTAAAGTATGTTTTATGAAACATATAGAGAGCGGCTTAAAATGATCCAGAAATTGACTTAATTAAACTAATTAAAAGGGAATACCGGCTTAAAATGAGCCAGAAATTGTCTTAATTAAACTAACTAAAAGGAATTCCCAGCATTTACAATGAGATTTGTGTACTGTTTAGAATCCATTGTAGTGACGTGAAACATTTATACCAGAATTGGAGTGATGTAATATCAAAGATTATGACACTATGAACAAAAATCTCAAATCTGATTGGACAGTGTATGATATTCGGTATAAATGCAAGATTATGCACTTTAAACTTTCGCTATATTGCATCACATAGCACTACATTTAAATCTCACAATAGCGCATATTCTTCGAACGTGGTTTCTAAATTTCGATTAGTAAGATAGACAATCATTTCTAAATTTAGTAAATTTATTCCAAATTTGGGTACCCACTTTTAAATTTACGTTAGATCAACGTAACTGATCTAGAATTTTATGTTACTAACATAAAATAAGAAGTTAATTCATCGGTTCGAATTTACTAATTGTCCATGATTCGGTAAAGATGACAAGTCAAGTGTAACGTGATAATTAAAAAAAAAACATTTTTTTCGAAAATTAAATTAAATTCAAAATTTCGCCAAGAAACCACCTTTTTCTGCGCTAAAAAATTTCTTGGCATAATGCTGTATACTAATCTGATCACTAAATAAGATGCCATGTTTGAAAAAAAAATGTGACAAGCAAATTTCTCTAACAATCTTATCCAATAGAAACAAGAGGAAAATTAATAATCTCCACCCGTTCTCAGTTTGACTCAGTTTGACGTGAAAAAGTCACACTGTTACTTTATATAGTAATATTATCATTCCAAATGGGTCCTTGGCTAACGCTAAACCTATTTTAATGACGAAATTGACTAAATGATATTCCCCTTGTTGAAGTTTTTTCTTCAACTTACAAGTGTTTAACGAATTATTCGCGTAAAGATACGAATATGAACCAATCTCACATTATGTTAAAAAAACAATATTCATCGTTTTTTTTGGCACTTGTTATGATATGCATTACACGTACAGCTCTTGCGGTTGAAGTGAAAACTTCACTTGGTCTAATACCTTCACCTGATATACCTGGTATTCCGAAAGAAGGAAATGATTATTCAAAGTTATTAGCTTATTCTTTATATTTCTATGAGGCACAAAGAAGTGGATACTTACCTCCAAATAATCGTGTATCTTGGTAAGTTTTAACTTTTGTATACTTTTTTTTCTCGAATATATGTTTTATAAACCTTCATTTTTACCATCAGGAGACATAATTCTGCGCTTGAAGATGGGAAGGATAGAGGTGTGAACCTAACCGGGGTGAGTTTATTATATTAGGAACGAAGTGATATGCAATATTACAAAAGTGTATAATTACTATTGACATTTTTGATGTCAAAATCACATGACTGATCGAACCATGCGTGAAATGCAGGAAAAATGCAGGAAGAATGCAAAACATTTTGCACTTAAACTTCACAATACAGCATTACATAAACTATATTTATATATTATGCCTTTACGGTTTTAATTTTAAATGAAACAAAATTTTGACAGTTTTATAAAGGCAGTTTCTAAATTTGTTACCATACAGGTTTTAATATCTCGATCAATGTTAGATAATCATTTCTAAATTTACTTTTTTGATTGATACAACCATTTTCGCATCAGAATTTAATTTGGTTCTAAATAAATTCATCACGATAAATTATTATTATCATCGTTATGCGTATTAACCCGTTCCTGGTTCTTGGTGTGATGACGTCACGTATATATGCGTATACTATATATATAAATATATATAAATATAAATCTAAATATATAAATATATAAATATATATAAATATAAATCTAAATATATAAATATATATAAATCTAAATCTAAATATATAATAATAATAATAATAATAATAATAATAATAATTTAATTTATTTATTTAGGGTTATTACGATGCAGGTATATATATATATTTTTACAAATTGATATCAAATAATTTCATACACATTAAAATAATTTTGTTTTATAGGCGATTACGTAAAGTTTACTTTGCCATTATCTTGGACACTATCTGTCATTTCATGGTATATAGTTGTCAATTTTGTTCAAGTGAACTTCATTTTCTCTTAATTTTTATATAATATACTTTTTTTATTTAGGGGTGCAATCGAATGGTTTGATGGATATCAACTTTCAAATCAAACTGGATATCTTCATGATATGGTCAAATGGGGAACAGACTGGTTGATAGAAGCCCATGCTAAACCTGATCAACTTTTCATCCAAGTTGGTTCAAGTACTGTTGATAATAATTATTGGGGACCTGATACTAAGTATGTTTATAGGGATTGGAACTATCTAAACTTTTCTTAACTGTTTACCGTTAAATTCGGCCGGCATTAAAATTGTCCTGGCCCATAATCAACATAATTCGGCCCGGAACTATAAAATTTTTTTATGTGGTTAAACGGTTCCAATCCTCAATTATGTATATAATATATATATTCGTTACTTTAATTGTTGACAATTATTTATTTTTATTATTATTATTTGATGGCAATAATAGTATTCCGTATCCACGTCCTTCCTATGATGTTAATTCAACAGTACATGGTACAGATACAGCCGCAGAAACTGCTGCGGCTTTCGCTTCCTCGGCAGTTTTATTTCGAGATTTTTTTAAAGATACTGCTTACGCCAATACATTAATGTCCCATGCTATAAACGTTTATTCTTTTGCCGAAACTCAAAACCTAACATTGTCTACAATCTCCACCAATGGAATCTATGGATATAGTACTTCAGAATTCTATGACAAGCTGGTTTGGGGAGCTCTTTGGTTATATCGTCTCACTAATCAGTCTCAATATTTAGATAAAGCAATAAATTATTATAGCTCATACAAAAACAAATCATATGCTACAAGAGTTATGACATGGGATGATCAAATAGTTAAATATATTTTTTTTATGCCTTAAAAGTTTTTTTTCATTATCAATATGTTCTAACCTTCATTCTTGACTTAAAATTTACGGTGCTATCGTAGGTGGTCCTTATATGAATGATTCTTATAGTGATTTAAGAACAAATATTATTCAATCCGAGGTATTTTTTTTTATATTTATTTATTTAATGCTTTGCATTTAAATATTGTAAGTGAGTGAGAATGAACACAAATTTATGTTAATTTCCTTTATATAAATATTTTTATTATAAAATACAATATAAACCTAATTAAATTCCACCAAGTTTCATTATCACTTACAACATATATATATATTTCAACGCATAATTTCCTAACATACAATGTATTTATTAATTTATTTTTTTATTATGTAGGTTGCAATTGACTATAATTCCGCATTTCAAGGTATAATAGCTTATTATGTTATGGACACGTATGTCCCACCACCAAACCATCCGGATGAACCAATAAATCCAGAAAATCCAATTCCTGCATCATTTCAAAATACAAAAACTATAATTATAATTGTTGCCTGTAGCGTTTTCATCATGTTATTAGTTTTAAGTTTAATAGTTTACAAGTACAAAAAGACTGTTTTTTGTACAAAAAATAATCAAGAAAAACTAAGCGACCTTGAGAAGAATAATCAGGAAAAACACCAGAAAAAATTAAAAGATCTTGAGGAAAATAATCCGAAAGAATCGGGAGATCTTGATGA